GTGAAACATCACCAACTTCCCAACTCCGGGCTGTTACTGAGACTTACTATACAGAAAGACTCAATAACTAAACTTGGCCCGACCCGGGACTCGAACATAGGACCTCCGGGTGTGCAGCCGTACATGCTAGCCACTACACCACCGAGGCTGTCAAAAAAAAATTAAAATATAAGCCCATTAAAATATACTGTAGCTTGATAAAAACTTCCGGCAAGAAACAATTTTCGAATACACACTAAAGAGTAAAGTTTAAAATATTATAGCAAATTCGCGTTTTACTTGAAGCTACGGTGAAAAAGCTAAAAAGGCCCTCGACTTCGTCAAAGAGGTAGAAGGAAAGCGTGTAAATTACATCTAAGTGGGTCAAAGAATGGTGTTTTCATATAAAAATGATAAAACATTTTTAATTAAATAAAACGCTTTTTAACCACACGCGAGGAATATTTTAATATTTTTTTTGAATTTTACATATTTATAAAGTTCATGGCTGTTGACTTAGAGTTCTTAATAGAGCAAGATTAAAGCTAAATTACGCTTACCACAAGTTGATACGTGATGTGTTAATGAAATAAGAAATCTTATTGCATTTACGTGTTGTCAATCTATACTATCTATACTAATATTATAGGGGTAAAGTTTGTGAGTTTGTGAGTTTATGACGTTGTAGGGGGTAATCTCTGGATCTACAGGACCGATTTAGATGAAATTTGGTAAGAAGCTAGTTTGAGACCCTGAGAAGGACATAGGATACTTTTTATCCCGGAAATCATCCCTTAAGGGGTTGCAAATGGGGATGAAAGTTTGTATGGGGAATCAACCTAGGGACGAACCCGAGCGAAGTCGCTAGTATTATATTAAAACACATCACGGTATCCTGATAAGTTCCGAGGAAGCTCCTATCCAATAGAACAAAGTAGAATTCGTGAAGTCATTTATAACATGAGCTCGAGAACTATAATTTTCAATGTTAAATTCGAGAACTATGATTTTAAAGCTATAAAGAGTTAATCGATTCTTATCTTCAAGATTTATGTTATTAAAAGCTGAGACATCAATGAACTTTAATTAAAATGGTAAAATTTCATTAAAATAATAAAAAAAACTTTAATTAATTCAATATTATTTTCATAAAAATATATTGGATTTTATTTACCAAAAACGGCACTTTTATTAGCGATTATGATAAGATATTAACAATGCTGCAGCTTTACTTTGCACTTTTAATTCCAAAGTGGTTTTATATTATGTTAACGATTATACTCGTTAAATACTTATTTTTTTACTAAAGTACTAAAGACGAAGGTATGTTAGAGCTATGGCCGTAACTCTACTCAAGACAAGCTCGCAAAGAGCTAGTAAAGTTGAATAGACTAGAAGTGTACTCGTAGGTTTATGATAAGACAGCTGTCATGTCGCATTTTTCAAGAGTGAGGTCACATTTTTCAAGGGGAGGGTTTTTAGCCATTATCAAGATAATTGAATTAAATTGAATCTTATTTTACCGACCGATCTCCTTCGTGTCTTTTCCCATTCTACGTGACATTGGCGAAGTAATCTGTGCTCAACTGTCAGGCTTCAAGCAATTAACAAGAGAATTGAATTGAATTGTGATCAAATACCTGAATCAAATATTATAATTTATACGACTTTAATCATATAACATCCTAAAGTTTTAAGCAAAGATTTATTATTTCTATAACATTTAGAATATAATTTGAAGATAACTTTATTATAGTTATTGGTAAAGTTTCGTCGAACGTGTCTATGGGGACATTTAAAAAATGGCTCAAAGGGTTAAATGAATCACGCCATCCCTAAGGACAGGAAGGAAGTATTTGCATGTTAGCATTAAACCATTTCCCTTTCTAGATAGATATCTTTCTGGCGGACATAAATGATACAAATTTATTCAAATTGATGTTGTAGTTGACTATTATAACTATGAAAGTTTATATGTATATACTCGTATGTGTGTATGTTTCCGAGATTCAGATTATATATATACAAGAATTGCTCGTTTAAAGATATCTTTATATATATAATTCTTCTGTGAGTGTGTATGTCACTGAACTTCTCTCAAACGACTGGACCGATTTTGATGAAATTTTTTGTGTGTGTTCAAGGGGATCTGGGAATGGTTTAGATTCACAATTTGAATAATAATTTTCATCAAAAAAATTATAAAAAAAGTGTGAAATTTTCAAATTAAAGACGTGTAGACAGAACAACGTCTGTCGGGTCCGCTAGTAAGATTATAAACACGAAAGTATGTGAATGTGCATTTTGGAGATATATGGAGACATTCAAAAGTCAGACGAATATTTATTATTTTGTTAATCAAATTATCGAATCTTATCAATCTTATACAGTATTACTAATGACCTTATTGCTTCATTAAGTTTTTAATGAAACATAAGCAACTCTAATTGTGAAATTGTGATATTAGAGACACTCGCGTTCACACAGAGACACTCGGTGTATACACTGAGTGTACCGTGTCTAGTGTCTTAGTCTAAACTGGCCTTACATTTACTTTAGCAAAGTCACAGAAAAGGTTAGTGTAAAGCCAATTCAAATATTTCATTAAAATTCTCCCCAGACATCGGTCTTGGTCTTGATAACTCAAAAGAATTCATAAATTTGACTTTAATTAGATAAAAACACTTTTTACCTAAAATATTCAGCTCTTGTAAGGATTATCTCTTAATTTGGAGAAAAAGTAAGTTAGTATTATTAAAATTTATGTTATGACTTAGGTTTCTTTAGATTTCTATGAATGTATAAAATACTAGCGACTCACGCTCGCTCCGCTCGGGTTCGTCCCTAGGTTGATTCCACATACAAACTTTCATCCCCATTTTCACCCCCTTAAGGGATGATCCATCCGAGGGATGATTTCCAGGGTCTCAAACTATCTTCTTACCAAATTTCATCTAAATCGGTTCAGTATATCCACAGATTACCCCCTACAAGGTCACAAACTCATAATCTCACAAACTTTACCACTTTATAATATTTGTATAGACTAGTAGCCCAGACTGGTGTTCTTAGATGTTTAGACGCATTTTATAATTTGAGGAAGTTCTTAGAAGAATTTGTTTTATTTTATTCAAATGAATCTTAAATCTATACAAATAAATAAAATTAAAGTCTGTTTGTAACGTCAAAATAACAGCTTTTTACTAAATGTACATATTATAATGCATATGAAAGTATACACGGTACTTATCAGAAAAATAATGTTTGTCTGTCTGTTTGTTCCGGCTAATCTCCGAAACGGTTGGTTTGATTTTTACGGAACTTTGACTAGCAGATAACTTGTGTTATATGGAGTATGTTAGGCTACTTTTGTTTAAAAAAAAGAATTAGCAAGAAATGCAAAAAATTAAAACCCATGAAATTGTGAACCAAAATTGCGCACCCGAGCAAAACGAGGTTAAGTCGCTAGTTTATGTTATGTATTGAATTTTTTCTCCTAAAGCAAAGTTTAATTGACTGTTATAAACTTAAATCCTTAAAAGAATCAAAATTTCATCTTTTTTGGCTATTATTATACCAGATGGGCGACTCTCGCAGAGCGGCCTACAAACTTTGAGGCGACGTTACCGTTTTGCAAGACTAAATCTATACATATAATAAAATTGTAACAGCCGAATCTGTACACTAGATATTTTTTTGTTTTTTTTTGAAATAAACATTATTATCGATACAGAGGCCGAATCTATAGTTTTTAGAATTTTTGTCTGTCTGTCTGCCTATTACTGCATCACAGAAAAACCACTGGAGGGATTTTAATGAAATTTGGTATGGTGATATCTATGGTGATATATGTACTTGTTATCCGGGTCATACTTTTACCGCGGGAAAATATCTCATTTCTGAGAAAAAATACAAAAACTGCAAAGTAAGAGTATACTAATATGTAAAACCTAAGAATTTGGTTTTTGGTCACCTGAACGCGGGCGGAGCCGCGGGCAGTGCTAGTAATATATATATATATATATATATATATATATATATATATATATATATATATAATTAACGACTTACCACCACTTCGGTCGGGTACGTCTCTAGGCCCTTGTGTTTCCTTAAAACTAGTATTTGCCAAGTATTTTATGATCTAAATCCTAAAATAACCCGGCCAAATTGAATGTTCATTCTTTAATAAATATCATACTAACATTTTAATTGATTTATTAATTTATAAAATTGTTTCCATTTAATGGAAGGTATGAAGTTAAATTTAATTATTTCTGATCGACAGTTTAATGTTGGGCTATTATGTGGCAAGTTTTGAGGTGCTTTATTATTTATAGGTTGATTTTATTTTAGTAAAATCACTTAGCTTTATTACAACAAACAGTGTTGGTAACTTTATGTAGTATATTGTAAGACTGCATCTGCATTTATCTATATAGATAAATAAATGTGTCTGTTTGTAATGTCAAAATAACAGCTTTTTACTAAATACATATGAAAGTATATACGGTTACTTATAAAAAAAACAATAAAAAAAAAAAATGTCTGTCTGTTTGTTCCAGCTAATCTCCGAAACGGCTGAGCCGATTTTGACGGGACTTTCACTGGAAGATAATTTATTTAAGAAAAAGAATTAGGGTTCTACGTAAAAAAATTAAAATCCATGAAATTGTAAACAAAATTCGCTCACCTAGACTTGGAAGTACAGAGCGAAGCGAGAGAAAGTTGCTAGTAATTTAATATTTTTATTCTACATAGGAATTATACTTATCACAATAGGCATCAGATCTTAAATTCTAGTCCTAGGTCCAGCCAAGTTTAGGTATATTGAGATATTCTGTAAGGAAATCCTCAAAATAATCTCAGTGAGATTGATACCGCCGTGTCCGTAATCGATCAGGACGTCATTATCGCATCATGATTGGCTATAATAATAGGCAATTTTTGAGGGAGACTTTCCTTCATAGGTGGATGACGATAAGCTATACCATGTATATGTGTACGTATTCATTACTTACCAATATCCAGTGTAGATACAGCATCTTTAACTAAGCGATACGTATCGCCATTAATTCTCAAGAAGTCGACACAGCCCAACAGTCCCTCTGAAAGTCCAAGCTTGCTTTGTAGTCCAGTAGTGTTGCCGGCCCCACCAACCCATACAGGCTCTCTGAAGGTCATACGGGAGAACAAACCCTGGAAACAAATATGTGGTTAGTTTTCTTTTAAAGATTTCAGTTTTAAAAGCTCATGCTTTATTAAAGTTTATATTTGTTGTGATTTTCATATTACAATGCGTTTCGTGAATAAGAATTTGGTTTTTTTAGTGATTATTTCAAAATTTTATCTATACCTACATATAATGAAATTCTAACTGAATCGAATCTGTACATTAAATATTTTTTGAAAAATCTTATTGAAATAGTCATTATTATCGATCAGAGGCGGAATCTATAGTTTTTAGAATTCTTGTCTGTCTGTCGGGGAATGCATTACGAGAAAATCACTGGACCGATTTTGATGAATTTTGGTATGATGATAGCTGGTTATCCAGGTCAACGTATATAGGATACTTCTTTTTGCGGGAGAATATATTATCATCTCTGAGAAATCTATACTAAACTTTGTTAAAACATAACTATAACAAACCCGAGCGCAGCGAGGTTGAGTCACATAATAAATTTAAACATACGAGGAAAATATTATAACAATACAAACACACACTAGACGGATAGAATTAAGTCAGTAATTTGAACACTATATATTCATGAATATTAACATAAAAGTATTTTGATTTGGCTTATAAGTGTGTGTAAGTCATGAGGTTCATAAAAATATTTATAAAATTAATACTTAAATCAAAGCAGTTTCAAAATTAAAACACTCCCTACGAATTTTGCAAACAATAATTACAAACTTGCCAACAATTACAGCTGTCTGATAGCGGGAATTCCGTCAATTATTATACAACATTAACTTGGTGTCGCGCCAATTATGAGTCCCGACGAGGTTTACAGTCTAAGTGGCGAACTTACAGCGATTTGTGAGGTTTATCTTTTTTAATAAAACTATTTTTTCGGATTTCTTTTAACCCCAGACGCAAAAAGAGGGGTGTTATAAGTTTAACGTCGATGTCTGTCTGTGTGTGTGTCTGTCTGTGGCATCGTAGCCCTTAAACGGATGGACTGATTTCAATGTTTTTCATTTGAAAGCCAGTTTCCTTGCGGTGTTTCTTAGCTATGTTTGGTTAATATCGGTCCAGCAGTGTAAGAGTATCAGCTGTTTTCCAAAATGGTGTAAGGCATTTTGGCGTATGGTTACTCGATTAAGTGCTTCACGCGTGCCAGTGTAATCGTTAATTGACAATTATTTTGCGTAGGGGGTTTTTAAAATTTTAATTTATAATTATCGCGGATACATTTTGATTTTTGGATCCTGACTGAATGCAACTTTTATTTTTGAAAATCATTGAATAATTTTGTGTGTAGGTGCTGTCTGTAACAACTGTGTAATGATCTTTGAGACGTCTTAAACCTGAGTCTCTCCCGTGACCATGATTGCTGTACAGCATTCAAATAAATAAATAAATTAAACAAATAAAGGGTCGGGGACCAAAAATCTAAATAAATACGTGACAAAGAATCCGAAAAGATAGTTTCATTTAAAATATCAAATATTCGCGTAAATCTAAGAAAGTATTAAGAGTAGCCTTTTTTAATTTATTGTTAAAAATTACTTCTCTTTTTATCAAATTTTGATGTAATATATTATTTGTAGTTGATGTAATAAAACGTTTGCGTGAATAATAAAAAACAACATAAAACAGTCCTTATGTCGTCATGACTTAAAGTACATATTGAGTTACTTAGCTATGTTAGTATTGTTAGTGCTTATTTATACCTTATTTCCAAAGCTATAAAGCCATGAACTTCGGTACGTAAATATTTAAATAGCACTTAACATATCGATTCATTTTTATAATTTTTTATCTTCTTTGTTACCTCTAGTAATGACAAGTTTTAAATTCGAATAAAACCAAAAGAATTTTTTAAACCACTTGTTTTCGAATCTAAAGGCGCAAGTAAATATTTGAAATTTTGTTTGAAATTGTGCTTTAAAAATTAATATTGTATTCGAAGCAATCATTATGCAATAACTTATAATTATAATTTATATTTAATAGTCAAATAAAAATTTTAAGTAGCTTTATAAAACTGCTTGTGACTTTTGCCACCGCTTATAATTTAAATACGCGTCAACCTCTTTGTCTCTTAGCTACCCTTCAGAGACACGAATATTTTTAATGAGTGATGCTTTCACTTTGTTTGTTAAAAGTTAAAAAAAAATTTTCGTCTATGGTGTGACGTTCCCTACTCTATGGTTTTGTACAGATAACAAATGGTAGGGAATGAGATTACAGAAATTGTTACGAGATTCTGTTTGTGCTTTGAATTATGGTAAAAGCTTTTTTAAATTGACGCTTATGAGATTTTTTCGAGCATTGAATTGAAAGTTTTAACGTGAATGTCTTTCGTTGGAATGAATAGTTTTGGAAAATAATATGGTTTTCCAGTTCTATATATGCGTTACAAAAACAACATGCATTAGTTAAATGAATTCGAACAGCAAACGAGTATTGTTGTTCAATGTCATATTAGCAAGGCTGGGTTTAAAGGTGTGGGGCATTAGAAGAGTAGATGCCTTGAAAATATTTTAAAGAAATTTAGCGGTTATTTTGTTTTTTTTTTTTACTAAATATATAAAAGAAAACTAATTTAGAACATCTGTTTTTTATCGACAATTTACCACTAAGTTCAAAACTAACATAAGTGTGTATTAGTAGTATATACATACAAGGTCTTCTTCTCCCTGCCTATTTCCCAAATCACTTGGGTTCGGCGCAGTACATCTTCAGTGTACTGCTGATAGGATTTGGCAAAAGTTTTACGACCGGCCGCCTGCCTGACGTCAACCCTCCTTGGGAATGCTATTGTCTTTCTTTGTCTGAATGGTGTTAAATATTATGCACTTTCGATTTTGTTGTGTTTTAAAATATTTTTATACTATTAATTCAATTATTAATGTTATTTTTGGGTATATTTTAAAATAAATTTCGATTACACAATAAATTTTGTATTGACGTTGTCAAATTTTATACATACAAGGTAATGTAGTTAAACATGCTATATTTTATTACGTCCAGATATTTTATTGAGAGAGAGGACAAAGCACATAAAAAAAAAAACTAAAATTGGGCGTGCGTAACGTATTTATCCATTTTACTGTAGCATTCTTAACGAGAATCACTTCACTCATAAGGAGCAGTAGCATACCTCCGTACAGAAAACCAGATTAGTCAAAATTCCTTATGTAGTTTTGTTATAACATGTTTTCCCATAAATCTGAGATATTTTCCCGCAGTAAAATGTAGCTACTTGGCTAGCTACTGGAAAGACCTCTTACTACTTAGTAAGAAGTATCCCAGTCAGTTCAAAATCACATCAATCGTCGCTCTATGTCTTTGTGAAAGTAAGGCAAGAAATAAACAACCAAACAAACTAATGTCACATTTATAGTACATATTTGTAAGTATAAGTGATACGTTTGGATAAATAAACTTATAATATGTAATAGGTACTTTCTTAGATTTACGCGAATATTTGACATTTTAAAGTTAAATAAAACTATCTCTTCGGATTTTTTCGCGGATTCATTTTGACTTTGGGTTCTCTAAAATCAAAACAAATACGCGATAAAATCCCAACAGATAGTTTTCTTTAAAACTTGAATATACATATAAAATTGTATCTAATAAATACTCATTTATACAGCTGGGGATATTGAAGTAGAACTAAAATGCGATAAACATAACATACTGATATGAATATGACAGATAAAATGAAGAAAATGATGGAATGGTAGTGCTAGAAGAAAACTTCATATTTCATATACCGGAACAGGTAGGTAATATATACTTATGCGTTCACTCTAGGAAAGTAAGCTGTTTCATTGTATATTCAAAAAGCTCATATACTTATAGGATCACTCACGTAAAGCTTACTGTACAGTTTCTCGGTAAACAGCATTTTTTTGCTAACATAAGTAATCTTGGAGATGATATTCAATGTGCCATCCATGTATAATTTATTTGAAGCATTTATTTTTTAACTAGTGATGTACTCTTGTTTCGCATGGGTAAGTTCTTAGGTATTTTTGTATTTATAATATTATAAAAGCAGTAAAAGGCAGTGGTAACCCAGTGTTAAGGGCTCGCTTCGGAAACCGAGTGAAGCGGGTGCTAATCTCGGGTCTCGCACATCTGATAATGTCATGAGAGAACCATTTACAGTATGACTACCACTCGTTTCACAGTGAAGGAAAACATCACGAGGAAACCTGCATGTCTGAGAGAACCTATCAAGTTTTCGAAAGAAGGAAAGTCCGCCAACCCGCACTTGACCAGCGTGGTGGACTATGGCCTGATGAATACAATATTATATACAAACAGTGCAACTTTTTAGCAACTTCAAAATGTAGGCATGTGAAAAATTCAAATAACCAAGTTTTTGGTTTTTTATTTTTATCTTTTACAAAAAAAAACTTTTCACGAAATTTTGTGAAAACTTACCTTTTTATGTCCCAAACATACTGTAATTTTTTTGATTTTAAAATATTTATTTTTTTATCTAGGATTTTATATTATATAAGACAATTAAATACATTTAAACATATTATAACTATTTATATAACGAGAGACAAGGTAAGGTAAGGTAAGGTGGATAGATTGCCTTAACTGATGGGAGGAAACGGCAAACTCCCTAACTTCGATATAACTTTTCGGGATCTTCAGATGTTTTGAGATTACGAGAACGATGCGAATCCATGACTTAGCAGTATACTCAAGTAGAACGATAAGCCATGTGAATATATATAATAGGAAAATGTTTTTGGTTTTGTTTATCCTTATTATTATTATAAATGTAGAAGTAAACCTGATTGTATGTTATCTTTTCAAGGATAGCAAATTTCAATGAAAATTGGCGAAGGCATATTGCATCAGGGGATGGACATAGGATACCTTTTATCCCTATTCCGCAATTCGGTGTGAGAGAAGCCACGGACACACACTAGTCCGTCCGTATTATTAGATAATATTATAAATGTGAAAGTTTGTGAGTATATATGGATGTTTATTACTCTTCCACGCCAGAACAGCTAAACACATTTGGATGAAATTTGGCACAAAGATCGATTATACTAGTCTGGAATAGCACATTGGTTACTTTTTATCCCAGAAAAATGTACGATTCCCGTGGGATAGGTTTGTTTTTGTTCTTAGAGGCGAACCCGAGCCAAACGAGGGTGAGCCGTTAGTTTAATATAATACTTATTTTTATAAATAAGAATTACTTAAAATATGTTGTAACAGTATATAATTATAAGTTTCATTAAAATTTATGTAGCCGTATTAAAGTTATTATTATATTAGATAGGTTAACAGACTGTAAAATGAAATTATAAATATAAATGAAAATTTTTGTTTACAAATAAACAAAAATTCTAACTAAGTCGAATCTGTACATTAAATATTTTTTGGAAAATCTTATTGAAATAGTCATTATTATCGATACAGAGGCCGAATCTATAGTTTTTAGAAATGTTTTGTCTGTCTATCTTTCTGCCTGTTACCGCATCACAGAAAAACCACTGGAGGGATTTTGATGAAATTTGGTATAGTGATAGCTGGTTATCCGGGTCAACATATAGGATACTTTTTGCCTCAAGAAAATATCTAATTTCTGCGAAAAAATGCAAAAACTGCAATGTAAGAGTATACTAATCTGTAAAACCTAAAAAGTTATTTTTAATCATCTGAACGCGGGCGGAACCGCGGGCAATGCTAGTTAGTAATATATTTATAAAAAATAAACAAATTTCATTATTTTGTTAATTTCATTTCACCGAATTAGATTATTTTAATAAGTAAAGTTAAGCTCTAGAATAAGCCAAGGAGTAGGTGGTTTATTATACGAATATATTTTCTTTTAAAACCGAGCAACGCAGGTAAAGTGGAGGAAAGAAAAAAGATTTAACTCAAAGGAACCTTTTAGTTTCAAACGCAGGAAACGGACGAGTATCGTTGAGGAAAAATTGGAAAAAAAAAATTAAATATTTCCTTTAATTTTCCACTTTTCCGCTTTAAATGGCTGTGGTTATGAATTTTTACTGTAATTATAAAATCTATCGTGAGTGTTTAATATTTACATATATTATATTATGCGATTAGCTTATTAAAGGTAATTTGTATACGTGCATACTAATGACTTGTAGTGTGAGTCTAAGTTGAAATGTGTTTTTAAATAATATATTTACTATTTCTGTACTATTACTAATAGTCAACCCAAAGCAAAACAAATCTATACTACCGGAACCGTACATTTTTCTGAGATAAAAAGTCCTAGGCTTCTTTTTATCCCAGAAGAATCTACGGTGATGCTATTCCACACTATAATCTATCTTTGTGCCAAATGTAATCCAGATCCGTTCAGCTGTTCTGGCGTGATTGAGTAACCAACATCCATCCATCCAAACTTTCGCATTTATATAGTAGTACTAGCATTGCCCGCGGCTCCGCCCGCGTTCAGGTGACCAAAAACCAAATTCTTAGGTTTTACATATTAGTATACTCTTACTTTTTCAATAAGATTTAAAAAAAATTATCTAATGCACATATTCGGCTTAGTTACAATTTTATTATATGTATACTTCTATACATATAATAAAAGATTACTTTTCCGTAGTCATTTTTAAAATTTTTGTGATTTATTCTAAACACTATTTTATTTAAAAAAACATTGTGCACAACCAATTTCCAGAATAAAACACATACCTTAGATCTTCCTCGAACTCGTTTGCCATTATTAAGTTTCAGCCAGGCGTCCCAACGGTGACGGTACACCGAGATGGTGTTCCATCTGCCGAGATGTATCGGCTCCGGAGATCGGAGGACACCTGCACCGCTCCCACAATCAAATCTAAAACAAAAAATATACAATATATTATAATTACTACATATTATACATTAAAGTACGACTTTGTGTTTGTTCGGTTTAATCTCAGAAATTACTGTACGGATTTTCTTACGGCTGTCACCAATAAAAGAGAAATTATCTAAAACATATTGTTAAAATAAATTAAAATAAAATAAATTAGTTGGGACATCAACACACAACACCATCTAGTTCCATGGTACAAGGCCTGTGTTATGGATACCAGATAGTTGGTACACTACACATATATAACTTTAAATACATACATATAATAAATATGATATACCCATGACTGAAGTACAAACATTCATGCTCATCATGCAAATGAATGCCCCCAGCGGGACTCGAACTCGCGACCGCTGGCACAGTAAGTAGGATCACTACAAACTGAGCCAAACGTGTCGTCTGACGGTCGGCGCTGCCCCTCGGTGACCGGTCAGTGCCGACGAACTACGCACCGAGGGTGGGCAAAAAACCAGCCAAATCTCCAGGCATTTTAGAAATAATTAAATTCTTAAACTATAGAAATATGCTAGTAGGATTCTATTGACTTAAATTCGACCAATATAATAAATTATATACCAGGATCACGATCAAAGGTCTGTGTCGAAATTCAATTTCGCAGAAATATTGTAAGCTATTGTCCACTCACAATGGGTTTTAATGCGGGTTCGGACACGCCGGACTAATTAACTTCGAAACCTGCGCGGATTACCAAAATCGTGTTTGTTATGGGCAGTGGCAGTACTGCGTATGTGGTAATACTCACATTATAGCTATTTTCGGTTTTAAAGTAATATAATTTTCATCATATTTGAGCACAAATATGGTCATCTTGTATAAATTTTTTGTATCTATAGTAGACTAGCATTGCCCGTGGCTCCGCCCGCGTTCAGATGACCAAAAACCAAATTCTTAGGTTTTACATATTAGTATACTCTTACATTGCCGTTTTGTATTTTTTCTCAGAAATGAGACATTTTCCCGCGGTAAAAAGTCCTATATGTTGATCTGAATGACCAGCTATCACCATACCAAATTTCATTAAAATCCCTCCAGTGGTTTTTCTGTGATGCGGTAATAGACAGACAGACAGACAGACAGACAGACAGACAAAAATTCTAAAAACTATAGATTTGGCCTCTGTATCGATAATAATGACTATTTCAATAAGATTTTCCAAAAAAATATTTAATGTACAGATTCGACTTAATTAGAATTTTACTATACGAGTATGTATAGATTAAAGTAATCGATGAAAAGATTATTATTATAAGCGATTTACCCTCGCTTTTTTGAGGTACTTCCCTAGAAGCCTTTTCTATCATTACATGTATTAAATATATATGTATAAATATCATTTAACGTATATTTTGTTATTTACATACTTATACATGTCCTAAACTATATTTTATAATGTAATATACGAGTAATATAATTAGTAATTTTAGTAAGTTTAGTTACGGGAGAAACTAAGGTTTTAGACGTCTCAAAGGCGTTATATACTTGTTACAGACAATGCCCTACCCACAATTTTACGAAAATGATTTCAAAAATTCAAAAATGCCACCAAAGTACCTTACAATATTTACTATATTTATTGATTATTAAAAAAAAACTAAGAAATTCACGACACAAACTGTAATAAAAATTAAACACTTTAAATGTTGACAAAATATATTTTAATATTTCCATGGTCACTACTAGGTCCTTAAAAATACAAAAAATATTTCAACTCGCGAAATATTTTGTAATATGGGTTTCCATAGACCGTTACACGCTCTACGTTATAGAGCTTTTTACTGTACGATATCATTGTAAACGTGATATAAAATGAATTAAACAAATTTAATTTTTATAATTTCATGTTCCAGAGAACGTATTTACGTTGCGAATGGATTGCGAACTCGTTTATTGAACATATTACTGTGGTTAACTTAATGATTTTAATGATTAACCTTGTTGTAGAATAATTTTAAACATTCACTTATTCAGTGGTAACGCGCTCGCTTGGGAATCCGAGAGGTGCGGGTTCAAATCCCGGTTACGCGAATCATTTCCAACATGATTAACACTTGTCTGTGTCATCATGTCATGTATTGTCATAATAATTTAAGCGCACAACAAAACTTTTATCAAAATCGGACAAGCCGCTTAGGAGGAAGAGGATTACGAACATACGCATACCGGAGATTTAATATATAAAGATAACTCTTTCTGTCCCGCTACGTAACACTATTTCCCACATACATACCTACATGGGTTGATTGGAACAGATCTCATATAGAGATAAGTCCATCTTTGTTCCCGTCACTTTCTATGTATTTTTTTTGTTAGAATTGTTTAATGCAATAAAGGATATATAATAAGACTAGCGGCTCACCATCGCTTCGCTCGGTTTCGCCTCTAGAAAAACAAATACAAATTCATCCCACGGGAACCGTACATTTTTCCAGTATATTTTTTTTTGTATAAAAAATGGTTTAAATTTAATAATATTAAAATATTGTTGTAAAGTAACTAACACTGCCTTCGAATTAACTTAAAACTAATAATTCCACCAATATGGGTGGAATATTTTTACCGACGGAAAAAAGGAGGAAGATCTCAATTCAATATGTATATTTTTTATGCTTGACCACGCCTAACTTTTTACTGGATTCTTTAGTTATTGGATAATATCTCATAGTTGGTCCCATTTAAATTAAAAATAAAATCACCCCTAAGTGTAGAAAATAGGGGATAATGATTGTCCATCTACATAAATTTTAAAATACTTTCTTCTTACCTTGTTACTACTACGTCTGCACTAAAAATGGAAAAAAAGGTTAAAAATACCAAAAAAAACGAAAAATAAGTTTATCCCCATTTGGCTTTACCTTGATATTTAAATATACACAGTACAGTAGTAGCACACTACCTTAATTCCACATGTCCATTCCGCAGAATAAGAGCGAGGTAGTCGCCAGACAGGTCGTCATGTTCCCCAGTCAACAGCAGCACGCCTCGAGCCCTCTCCGGGCGAACGCGCAGTCGTAAACGTACGCGTTTGTACGCGCCTCGTAGTGCGTGCAAAGCCAGCCAGGACGTCCCGGAAAATCGTGGGGTTGATATTTTCGTATCTGTGTACAAAATAATATATTATCTAATGTCTTAGATTTACTATAAAAAAATAAATAAACATTTTTTTTTAAGATTTTGTCGCGATTTTATTTTGATTTAAATCCCGACGTTTCAAATGCTTTACAGTAAAGTAATCTAGTCTCTCACATGAACGTGGATGCATATATGTAAAGCATTCGTTTGATCGGGAACAAAAAAGTGAAATAAAACTTTTACAGGTACCTTTTAAAAATACCATATAATATATGGTATGTATGGTACCATATAATATATATTATGTGGACAGCTGTTTGGTTGGTACGTAGACATAAAAAAGATGTAAAACCAGTAATAATAATAAAAAATAATAATGTTCCTCTGACCTATTCCGGCCACGGCGGCCAATCTCATTGAGACTAGCCAACTGCGCAGGAGATATTATAGTGCACAAGTGTACGCGCAGACACAAGTGCACTCTCTATTCCTGTCACTCTCATACTCCGGTGGGACGACACGAGACACGACCGGTGAGAGTTAAGGCGCAGGACCGACGGCTTTACGTGCTCTCCGAGGCACGGGGTGAAACACCGCCAACTTCCCAACTCCGGGCTGTTACTGAGACTTACTATACAGAAATACTCAATAACTAAACTTGGCCCGACCCGGGACTCGAACCCAGGACCTCCGGGTGTACAGCTGTACATGCTAGCCACTACACCACCGAGGCAGTGTTAAGTACGTATAACGCACTAATAAAAATCACAGGAGCCAATCATTTATCAATTTATACACAAAAATACACAAATAAATGACATGGTCAAAATCTATTGAACCGTGTTAAAATGCCAATATTAACTTTATTATATTTCAATCGTTTATAATCATGTTAGTGGAGATTTAAAATTGACAAACATGAAATGAGTTAAAGTAAAAAATCAGTAATAAAATTGGTTTTTAACCGACTTCCAAAAAGGAGGAGGTTCTCAATTCGTCGGAATCTTTTTTTTTAACTGACTTGGAAAATATCTGATTAGTTATCTATTTTAAATGAAAACCCCCGTTTAGTTTTTTTACATTTTAGTGCCTGGAAGTCGGTTTTTTTAAGTTTTTTCGTTATCAAATTGTTTGTTTGTTAATTTCAAACCTATTTGTAAAACATATGTTGGAGATTGAAAGAGTATTGTAACTCTATTTTTAATATCTTTTTATTATCTGGAGGCCAGGAAAATGTCACCATGGAAATAAATTAATTTTCGAAAATGTCACACAAACACTTCTACTTTTTCAAGTCGGTAAATACCTATTCAAAAGGCTGTTAAAATCGTTACTTTTATCTGTGCATATTCAATATGAAATGCAATAAAGTACAGTGAAGATTAAAATGAAATTTCACACAGCAAATACGTTTACATAAGAAATATATTTTTATTTAAATCACGATAACCTAGTGAAGCGTAAATTTCCAGTGGGTTAAATTCTATTTACTTTTAATTGCGTATTCACGTAAATATACGTTAAGCAGTGGTTTTTTGTATAGAACCGTACAAGTGTAATATTTTCCTTTGATGTTAAATGAATAAAAAGGGCAAATTTTGATGTGCTCGCCGACACTTTAAATAAAACCTAAGTAATTATATTACTGCAGATAGATGTTAATATTTCAAAAATTAAAACTGCAATGGCTTTGTCAATCTCTCGTATAATAAAATTGTAACTAAGCCAAATCTGTACATTAAATATTTTTTGGAAAATCTTTTTGAAATAGACATTATTATTGATACAGAGGCCCAATCTATAGTTTTTAGAATTTATGGAATTTTTGTCACGCATCACGGAAAAACCACTGGATGGGTTTTGATGAAATTTGGTATGATAATAGCTGATCAACATACTGGATTCGGGTCAACATACTGGGTACTTTTTACTGCGGGAAAATATCTGATCTCTGAGAAATCTATACTAAACGTTAAAAGTTAAAACGTAAGTAGGGAGGACGAACCAGAGCGGAGCGAGGGTGAGTTGTTAGTATCTTTTCTATAATTATAATTATATTATCTACGTTATTCAATGGTTTTAAGTAAATAAAAGCTAAAATTGTTTAGGTTTTAAAAGAAATATCATTAAAAAAGTGCAGGAGCATAACTAATAATTACTTGATTCTCCCAGTTTGATTTGTGTTAAAATTATCTTTAAAGTTTTTATATAATTTATATTATTCATAACTATTGCTTAGTATACAGATAAATAAAATTGAAGTATCTGTTTGTAATGTCAAAATATCAGATTTTTACTGAAAGCATATGAAAGTTTATACGATACTAAAAAAACTATTTTTAAATTTTTTGTCTCTCTGTCTGGTTGTTCTGGCTAATTTCCGAAACGGTTGGACCGATTTTGACGGTACTTTTACTGGCAGATAGCTGATGTTAGAAGGAGTAACTTACTTAATTTTATTTTAGAAGAAGCATTAGGGTTCCGCGCAATAAAATTAAAACCCATGACCCGAGCAAAATGATGATAAGTCGCTGGTAAATACATAAGATACTTACTACAGAACTTTCGGAAATTCTGCCTCTAAAGGTGTAAAAAAGGTGTTGAAAGTTTGTATAAAAATCTATTATTTTGAAGTACGTGGGAAGAATCATGATAAAATGGTAATAAATTATATACATTATTCTAACAAAAGATATTTTAGCCCAAAGCCACATTGTTTCTTTGGACAAAGAACTGTTTTAAAGTAGTAAAAACAAAATAGTACTGGAGCGAACTCAAGCCTACAGTCATCAATAAAATTTAAAGTTAAAGCGCTCTCAAACTTTGTGATAAGGGGTCATGAGCAAATATGTGGAAAATGGAAGGATGAACTCGGCTGGTTTTATCTATACTTTGAATGTAATTAGTTGGTATTTACTCTGTTTAATGAGAATGGAAGTTCAAATTTTGCTGTGTGATTTATACGTGTAAGATACTAGTTGTTTTACTTGTATTCAGCCCTATTTAACGTCCCACTGCTGGGTATGGGCTTCTCTTCAATATATTGAAGGGGGACTAGGCTATAGCCCACCACGCTGGCCAAATGCGGGTTGGCGGACTTCACATGCCTTTCGAAAACTAGCTAGGTTTCCTGAGATATGCAGATTTACTCACGATGTTTTTATTCACCGCTAAGCAAGTGGATCATAAGCAATCACTTTGGAAATGATTTGTATATGAAAATATCAGAGGTGCGAGACTCGGGATTGGAACCCGCTTCACTCGGTTTCCCAAGTGAGCGTGTTACAGGGCTATCACATCCTTATTGGTTTCCTTGCAATATTTCATTTTCCATACCAAATTTCATCAAAATCCGTCCAGTGGTTTTTCTATGATGTGGTAACAGACAGACAGACAGACAAAAATTCTAAAAACTATAGATTCAGCCTCTGTATCGGTAATAATGTCTATTTCAATAAGATTTTCAAAAAAATATTTATAGTATAGATTCGAGTCAGTTAGAATTTTATTATATGTATAGATAAAATGCTAGACTACTTAAGAAATAGCACCTTGTTTTTTTTCCTCTATTTACAAGTATATAAGTATATATAAAATTGATTTGATTTTAATATAAACCTTTTTTGTTTGCGCATGCACGGCTAATGAGCCGAGCGTGCTTAGTTCAGCGTTTAAGAGCTTAAACTGTTTGGCAAACATTGTACATAATGACGCGAAATTTCAATTTTTATGCCAGTTTCTCTACAACTTTACAGTTAATAGACTAAAGTTTAATCTGTCTATACTCTTCTTACAGCGACAAATGATGAAAAAGTTATTTTTGGTAACTAAAGCAATTTTTTTAGACATCAATATTTTATTGACTTTTAAAATTTCGCAATTTGTAGATAAAACAGTGTTTGTGTTTGTCATAAATATGAGTAGATTTAGTTATATGTTATATTTGATATAAAAAAGTAAATAAAAATCGTAATCATAACATTTCGGTGCTATGCAGCTAGCATTACATGTTTTGGAGTTTTAGAGTTAACATATAATAAAATTCTGAGTCGAATTTGTACATTAAATGTTTTTCGGAAATGGAAAAACTTATTGAAATAGTCATTATTATCGATACAGAGGCCGAATCTATCGTTTTTAGATTTTTTGTCTTTCTGGAAACGCACACGAGAAAACCACTGGACTGATTTTCATGAAACTTAGTATGATGATAGCTGGCTATCCGGGTCAACATATAGGATACTTTTTACTGCCGGAATATATCTCATCTCTGAGAAATCTATATATTAAAATCAAATATACAAAATGATTGACATATACTAGCTATGTGTTTTATTTTACTTTTATATTTAGCATATCTAGACCAGATACAAGAATTTGCGCTAAGCCAAAAAGATTACCGTTGTAAAAGACTTCCCTCGAAGTAATAAGGCAACCTCATTATAATTTCAAATTAAGCTTGTTGCTTTATGTAAGTGCGGTCTGGTACCGGGTGTTAAAAGATAATACCTGTACAGTGTATTTTCTTTTCTTCTCCTGCTTAATTATATATATTTGATAGTCTTATGGCGCAGTAAGAAAAAAGAATAGGTATTCTGGGTAGTGGGTTCGATAAAAGTTCAAAGTTTGTTCGTTGTTGTTAAAATTCTGTAAAGGATATGTATGAAAATGTTGGCTAATACTAATATTAGGCTAACCTAATCAAAATTTTGTGGAAATTGGCTGTGATACATTTTAAATTGGTATTATAAATTATTTCCACATTTATACTAGAATATTTAAGAAACAAGTTATTTCTTACTTAATATTATAAGTGTGAAAGTTTAGAATTTAGATGGATGGATGTTTGTTACTCAATCAAGTTAGAACGGTTGAACGGATCTGGATAAAATTTAACACAGAGATAGGTTATAGTCTGAAATAGCACATCCCATTTTATCCCGGAAAAATGTACGGTTCCCGTAGGAGAGATTTTGACGACACGTTTGGCTCAGTTTGTAGTGACCCTACTTGCTGTGCTAGCGGT